GGGTAGGATCTTGATGGCTAGTTGTAGGGAAGTTCTACAGTTTGATTTGGGTTGGGTAGGATAATTGCATATAGACATTTTTGAATTTCTTGTCACTGCATACTACACCTGCAACTTGATTTTTATCTTATTGAGTTATGTGAACTCACTTATCATCATTAACAGATGGAGTAGGGACGGAGTCGGGATCCGGGTTGCTGGTTACGGAGCCCAGTCTTTAGCGCCATAGGGCACAAGTTTTATTTGTGGTGTGTGGTAGTTTGTAAAAGTTGTTTTAGTATGGATACTGATTATTGGAGATGTATGATATAGTTTTGCTATGTGATGTAGAGGTAGAATTGTACATATATTGGGTTTGGAATAAGGAACTGTGGACAAGTTTCTCTTACGTGTGATTGAATTAACATGGGATTTGCGTGTCAGGTCATAGGAGTGTTTTATCTTATGCCCAAAAAAAAAACGGGGTGTTACAGATTACACCTAAGGGAAAAATAAATCTGAACTGTCCACACGCGCGGGATTGATTTTGGGTTGTCTAATCGCGAGGCACGCGGATTGCCCGCATGACCTCCCGTGTGGCACCGATATCAGCGTGCCTTGCCACGCGTCGTACTCTGGTTTGTCGGGGCTGCTGACGGAACAGTCCTACGTGACCGAACTTTTTATATTTATCATTTTGACCTTATGTTTTTAATTTTTCTTTTAAAAACACTTAACGAATTCAAATTTTTACTTTTTTTTTTAAATTTCTTTGAATTACATCCATACTTATTTTTTTTTTCAATAATTTAATAAAATTAAGTTTAAATTAATTTAAAAATAATTTTTATTTATTTTTTGATACTAAAATTTGATCACGCGTTAAATTTCAGATCTGGGTATTACACCGACCCCGGGTGTTACATAAGGAGTTGCGATTAAAATTTTATTTTTATAAAAAATAATAATGATTTTTCCTAAATTTTCATGAACTTTTTTTTATAAAAAAAATTTATCTTTTTAATTTTAAATATTGGATGAAATTAAAATTAGAATTGTCTTATTAAAAATTCTACTAATTATTTAATTAGTTAAATAATACCGTCATTGTGCATATTTATTAATTTTATATTTTGTTGTTGAATAAATTTATTTATTTTTTTAAATTATTATGTTAATTTATTATTAATATCTTTATAATATATATATATATGTATATATATATTTACTTCATTTGTGTTTACCTTTTAGTAGATGCAATAATGCATGTGCAATGTTGACATCTTTGCCGACCACAAGGCAAAATTATTTTGACAATGGAGGGCAGTTTTGATGACTACATTATCTACATGGTTAAATCAGAATATATATATATATATATATATATATATATAGAGAGAGAGAGAGAGAGAGAGAGAGAGAGAGAGAGAGAGAGAGAGAGAGAGAGAGAGATCCACGAACATGTATCTACTTAGATTTGTCAAGTAGATACATGAACACATTATAATATATATATATATATATATCCATATATGGCCATTTTTATTTGTATAATCTCCATGAATTGCTCATGTTCTTTCCTTTTCTCCCATATATCTTTTGACTTTACTTTTGTTTCTCAAAAAATATGAGAGTTAGGTCATTGGTAGATGGGGAATTTTTTTGGGAGATACAAATTTATTGGGAAATCTTGATAGTGTTCAATATATATATATATACTTTTGTTCTAGGCTTATATATATATATATATTAATTTAAAATGAAATAGTTTATTATTAAAATCACTTGTAAAGAAATTTAAGATCAATTAATATTTTAGTTTTGTTTATTAAACATTTACCCATAAGTTTATTTTCACTAATTTAATTAATATATTAATAAATTAAATCCTATAATATCACTACTATCAATTTATAATAAACCCATCTTTTTGGTGTTTTGAATATTATAATACATATATATATATAATTGGTTTCAGATATTATTACAAACAAATATAATGATTTGAAACGTGATGTACAACTTTTTTAATCAATTAATTTACGTCAGGTGGCGCAGTACAAATTTATTTATTGGATTATCAAATAAATTAAATCCTTGTCATAAGTAACTAACTTTTTATTACACATTTTCACTTTGTTTCTTCACAAGCAATATCTTGTTCTGAGGACACGTGTCAGCATACCCAGACAGCAACCGCATCTTACCCTTTGGTTCTTAGGCTAACCCCATTTGGACGCGTGTCCTTCAGATTGTATGGAGTGTTCGCCAATCACGAGATGACACGTCATTGCTCACGGCCACTGATCTTTGACAGCTCCTGAGCTTTTTCTTTTTTCTTTTTTTTTTTTTTAAATCTGAGTTCATTAATTATGAGAGCTTAAAAATATTAATCCATCTTCTTTTTTCCACATATTTTTAATTAAATTAATAACAATAACTTTAAGTATTAATGTATTCATTAATTAAATTTAATTATTAATTATTTTTAAGCATATTTAAATGTAACTTAAATATTTTAATTTTTAATATTAAAAATAAAAAAAATCAAAAATTAAATTATAACAAAATAATATTAAAATTAAATTGTAACAAGTAAGTACTTAAACATTAGTCACTAATTTAATGATTTAACATAAAAAACAATCAATATGGTACCAAGTAGTGACAATGATGTAACATTTCATAAGTACAACAAGTTACAAGATTGGAATCTTTTATCTTTTTCAATTATTATTATTTAATATATATATATATATATATACACACATATATATTGAGGTTTAATTAGTAATTAGAACAGACAATTGTACGTATGTCATGCTTATGATTAATTAAACAACTTTATTACTTAAATTAATTTTATGCTATGCTAAAATTTGTATCTTTCTTATTGAATAAATTAAATACATTAAACTAATTGTTGTACGGCGATGGCAACAAATAACTACCCACTATCATGACTTCATTCAATCCCATCTTGTCCCCTTCAATCAATAAAACAATTGGCATATACATACACACACACACACGCACGCATATATGTATATATTCTCATTAGAACATTATAATTGTCACGTGTTAAAAAAATCAAATGACCAAAAGAAAAGAAGGAAAGAGAACTTGGTACGTTTATTAACCTGCGAACATAAATGACAAGAACTTGCGTTTAAAGATGGTGTGAGGTTTGAATATTTTTATTTTGTTAAATCAGTTTATGATATACGTCGTGTTTGGTTATGGAGATATAATTTGACGTGTTTGGTTATGGAGATATAATTTGACGTGTTTGGTTATGAAAGGGATAGTCATGGAGGTGTTTGTGTGACCCATTTTATTTTATTAGTTAACTTATATATTTTCTTAGTCTTTACTAAAAAAATATAATTATTTTTTTGTTGTAATAAAATTTATTTTGTATTTTTTTAATACATTTTTATAAAAATATTTTTATTAAATTTTGTTAATGTGTGTTTTTTTTTTGTATTTTTACCAATTTTTGCAAACGCTAATTATTTATAAAAGCTTATACATTAAATAAAAATACAATACTCAATATATGTTTTACTTATTTTCAAGAATTTATAAAATTAATCTCATTTATTTCTAAATTTTATTTTTTGTATCATATGTTAATTCTGTATAATTAAATTGCGGCAATATATATATATATATATATAAATGATAAATTTGTACTGAGTAGAAATTTATCAATGAAACAAAAAAAAAAAAATGAGTTTAATAATCTAGAGATTAACTCAAAAAGAATTTAGCTAAGAGGCCAGCAGTCCCTACATATCCTCCTCCTCCTTAAAATATGTCATATATATACATATACACAAACAGGATGATAGAAGTTTAATTAAATATATGTGCATATATATAGTAGGTAATCAGCAAATATTGAATATATACGTTTATATATAGACAGTAGACATATTTTCAACCTGTAACAATGTATGCAGTACTTTAGTTAATGATAAGTCTGATCAAAGAAAAGCATTAAAATACATGCATACAACTTTGGATGATACAGTGAAAAACCTTGGGTTTCTTTAACAGGTTAAGCCCTAAAACCAGACAAACAAATGTTCGATTTTTTGCTCTGCGTGTGTGTGTGTGTATATGTATAGACATATACATACACACCCATTAATCACACTCCCCCCCCAAAAAAAAGAAAAAGAAAAGAAAAAAAGGAAATGAGAGCATCTAAAACTTCTAATATAAACCACAGCATAAAAGCTCAAGATCTCACTCAAAACTCTTTCCATTTTTCTCTCTACCTATATTTTATCATTCCTCCATTAGTATAAATCCTTATTGGTAAACCACAGATCGAGATTGTTCAAAAGTTCTTTCACCCTTTATCCAAGATTGGAAAAGAGAGTTAATCAGTGATCTTTTAGGTTTTTGTCAGAGGAATTATGGGAAGGGGCAAAGTTGAGCTGAAGAGAATAGAGAACAAAATCAACAGGCAAGTAACTTTTGCAAAGAGAAGAAATGGGTTGCTCAAGAAGGCTTATGAACTCTCAGTTCTTTGTGATGCTGATATCTCTCTCATCATCTTTTCTAACCGTGGGAAGCTTTATGAGTTTTGTAGCAGCTCTAGGTATGCATTTCATCCCTCTCTCTCTCTCTCTATATATATATATGTGTGTGTGTGTGTGTTTGTCTATATATATTCACCCATGTGTATGTATATGAGGATTAGATCTTATTTTGTTTGTGCCAATATTTGTAATGGGTTTCATTGGTTTTGATTAGTTTTATTATATATACACACGAGAGAGCGAGAGAGAGAAAATCTAGGGTCTTTCATGGCTGTTCTTCATTAATATGAAGATCTTTCTTTTTTTCTTTTTTCTTTTTCCTGACTTCAGAAACTGATGTGTGGTAATGGAATAGTAGTACTCTAGAAAGAACAGACTTAAAAAAGATTATATAGAAATTAAGAACTCGCTACTTACCTACCACCTTTTTAACCTACGGATCTATACTATCTCTGTGTGGATATATGTAAAGAGAGCAAAGATAAGGAACTTGTTTCTTTCTCTCTCCTTTTACTTTAAAATAGAAACAGATTCTTTGAGTGACTTACAGTATTATTGACCCAGTTATTAGGTCAATTTCAATTTATGAAGATCAAAGGAGATGCTTGTTTAAGCCAGATAACCCTTTTGTTTGTCAGACTTTAGATCATAATTAACCGCTAATTAAACAAAAACTGGTTTACTGTTAAGATTTTGTTCCTGAGATGTGATGCTTTGCAGTGACTACAGTCTTCTGCACTTTGTTGTGCTGTAAAAGAACTGGTTCAGAGAGGAATTAAGAAAGAAAGAAAGAGAGAAAGCTGCTTTTCCTTCAAAGCTGAATAGATCTAAAGACCACCTATTTTTGGCTAAGATTGTTTCTTTTTGAAGTTCATTATTATTTTTCTAGAACTCCACCTTGATTTTCTTTTTCCCGATTGTTAATTTTAATCTCATTTAACTAGTTGTGTAATTTTTTCGCGACTAATCTAAGCTTGAACTAATAAGAATATATTTTAAGATTTCGGTCTCTCTAGTAGCTCATCCAGGCCAGATTGGAATTGAATTAAAGACGAAACTCTTACTCATTCGTAATAAGGAGGAAAAGCTAATAAATCAAGACTGGTTAGTAGTAGTGATGCTTGATAACCTTCTAGGTTTAACCAGTAATAGAAATAAACGGTATAATTTGGTTTAGGAAGTTATGGTGAGAGGATCTACTTATTTGGTGCTGAGCTATACAGACTGTGTTGCATGTCTCCTTGGTGAAAATGTAGCAATCGACATATGTTTCTCCTGTAAAGAGCTTATCTTTTCTTGTTCATGTAGCTAGTGTGTTGAAATGGAAGTTTTTAGTTTTAGTTTGTAAGTGGTGAGTCACCTAGCAATCTTGATATAAAAAATTATATATTTTGTGTAATAAATATACGTTATATGTAATTTCTTCACGAATATAACTTACCTATTTTCAGTTAATCTTTTATAATTAAGATATATAATAACAATCAATATTAAAACTTTAAAACTCTAACACTTGGATCTTTTAAGGTAATTCAATGTAATAAAAAACTTAAGTTGGTAAAGAAACTTGTAGTATATTATATATACATTATATATATATATATAATAGAAATTATTTTTAATTCGTTAAGCACGTTAAAAACAATTAATATAGTAAAATAGATTGCATGATTAATTCAGTGGATCCATTGATTTTAAGGAAACTTTTTTTCTATTTTAAAAAATTTTCAGAAAATTCTCCAACCAACTCAATTAATTTTTGAATATAAATAATATCTAAAATGTAAACTTACATTAAATTTTAAACCAAATTTTGCTTTAGAACAACTTGACTACTAGGTTATCACGATTTGACTTTGATAGTTATGGATTAGTACCAAGATTGATTCCTAGACAGACGTATCAAATTTTAATAGCTAACACAATAGCAATAAAAATGTTTCTTTCTTTATTGAGATTGTATGAATAAATATCCGAACCAAAGTATGTTATTGTTATGAGGGCGTGTACATTAATGAGTTCTTTACCCCAGTAGGGGATAAAGTGACATAAATTTTGAGAATTTAAGAGAAGTTTACAGCGAGACGAGCCATTTATCATTATGATAAGTGTAAAGTGAAAGTGCGGTGAAATATACAACTAAGACATTCTAACAGATCGGTAGACTTGAACTTTGTTCCTACATGACCTGATCAATTCGATCAGACACTCACCTTCTTATTTCATTGTTCCACTCTTTGACAACACGAAAAAATTATAGTTTAATTCTTTAACAATATGAAAAAAATCAAAAGCTCCACCGTCCTTCTCTATCTGTCAAAGAGTTGGAAGGGTAGAGACCTTTGGTGTCCCTTCCAATCAATAATTAAAGCCTCATAATCACTAATTAATATGCTTTTCTTTATTTATGATTCGATATTCTGGTGTCTTAAGTGTCCAGGAAGAACACCAATCTATCATGAACTTGGTGGTTAAACTCTACTGCAATGATGATGATGTAGGAGAGGTCCAGTGAAAATATAGCTTGATGCTAGAATGATAAAAAACTTAGCACATCTCATTCTTATTACTTTTTTAATATAAAAAGAAAACAAAAAATAAAAATAAAAAATCATCTCATTCAAAATCTTAATTATGAATTCCCTTCTCTACCATTTCATACATTGGAACGCACCGTTCTTATAGAGAGGAAAACACTTTCATATCTTCTTAACTCGAAATGGATCGAGAGAGGAAATATTTCTTTTTTTTTAGGATACTTATAGGACTGTATCCACTAGAAACAGAATGAGGCATGTAGCTTAGAGGATTAGAGCACGTGGCTACGAACCACAGTGTCAGGGGTTCGAAGCCCTCCTCACCCACAATCAGTTTAAGTACTTTATATAATTCGGTTAGATCTCTTTGTTCAATTGTAAATCACCATGTAATTGAGTAATGACACATAATGATGCGTGGTTGTAGAATAAGATTATATTATAAAGGTTAGTTTAGTTAACTAATCCTTGAAATTATGAAAGAGAGTTAGATGATATTGTAATGTATGAATTACTAAATTAAATAGAATGTTATCTTTAGTTGACTTTACTTTCTTTTTTTTATCTCTCTTCTTTTTTTTAATGTTTTTCTTTTTATCAATAGTATCAAAATAGTTGATAGTCGAGTTTGATTAAAATTCTAATATGATAAAAGATTAAATGGTTCTTCAAATCAAATCATTTTTCTTATTCGAACTCATTTTTATTGAACCATAGTAAGTTCTTTCTTTTTTATTTTTATTAATCTTAAGTTGGATTACAAACACATTTGAAAGAACATGTTATTGAAAAAAGTGAGAAGCAATACGTGAAACCACTAGTACAACTTATGAAGTGAATCTTGCTATGTTTAGATTGTTGCTTAATAATAATTGTAATGTTGAGGTTAAACATCATTGATCTAATAATTTTTTAAATTAACTCATTAGTTTTGAAAACTTGCAAACTTAATTTGTTGTGGTACGAGATTGAATTTCTATATGAAATTAATAATCACATATGTTTTAGTATACGACTGATGTATCACAATTTCGACGCTTAAACAATTAGTATCTTCATCAAAATCACGCATCACAATCATAAATTCAAAACCTATAAAGTTCAAAATTGCACCAGTAAGAAGAAAGAAAATTAATGAACTTGGAAAACTTTTATACTATGAAGATTCACAAACCATATCTAATACATTACAATAATAATAACTCAAAACCCCAACACTTGTATAATATGTAAATCATCACGTCAAGTACTCTTCAATCGTTAGTATTTTTTAGAAAAAAATTTAAAAAAAGATAATATTTTGTGAATAAAATTATTTATTATAATATTTTTATTATTGTAGAATAGCTTTTGATTGGTAGGATTGAACTTATATAAAATTTGTTAGTACTATGATTGGTACTTTGTGGTTTTAGCTCTACATCTAAAATAGTTTCAAAACAAGGGTAAAGATAATATATGTATATATATATATATATATATATGTATGTATGTATAGGAAAAGGGTAGTGCTGTACTATTCACACTTTCCCAATTCTCATTGGCACTCCTTTTTTGCAATAATTCATTTTTGGAAATAACAAAACTAATATGAGTTACTGTAAGTAGCACTTCCCCAATACAGTACCTTACAAATCTGTTCTTCACAGTTTGAGCCAGCCCCAGCGTTGAGTTTCCTGTTCATATCAAAATTGTACCAATTAATTTTCCCTATTAATTATATTAATTACATTATTCAACATATCTTATCTAATTCCATTATGTTTCACTACTAAACTCACTTTTTGATTTTCACATTCTTCCAATTATAAGCATGGTGGAAATGCTTGAAAAATATTATCAATGTAGTTATGGGGCACAAGGAATTCCGAACCAACCAGTCCACGAGATACAGGTAAAGAACAAGAAATTTTATTTGTAATAAGTACGAAATAGATAAAGTTATGGAGTCTGTTTACTCTATACTTGATCAAACATTCTCTGACTTCACATATTAGTCGTAGTGTGTGTGTATATATATATATATATAGTTTCATAGTGATATCATGAGACCAGAAGAAAATAATTATAAGCATCGTGGGATGCAGAGCTACCAAGAGTACTTGAAGCTGAAAGCAAGAGTTGATGTTTTACAAAGGTCTCAAAGGTAAGTTAAACATTCACTTTCTTGGAATTAATATTGTTATATCTGAAATCAATGCATTGAAGTTGGTTTTTGCTAGTTTAAGTATTTTCTTGATCTTCAATAACACAGAAATCTTCTTGGGGAAGATCTGGCTCCATTAGACACGAAGGAGCTTGAGCAGCTAGAGCATCGACTCGAAACATCTTTAAAGCAGATCAGATCAACAAAGGTAAGAAAGTAGACAACCCCTTTTTCTTACTAATCTAATTTTTATTGATTTACAAATAGTTGATGGAACCATTCATTAGGGTTATAAAAAATTAATTTAATTTCATTAAGTAACTATCAATTTTGTCTAAACATTTGCACTTCTCTCCTCTTCTTTTTTTGTTCTGTCGCAGACCCAGTTCATGATCGGTCAGTTAGCTGATCTCCAGAACAGGGTAAGTGTCTATCAATATGTGTGTGCGAGTGTGTGTCTATATATATAAATACATATATATGCCTGGTTAGGATACGCTTCTGTGCCAAAAAGTAAGTATCTGTCAATACCCACAGCCTTATTTGTTGGTGCAGGAACAAATTTTATTGGAAGCCAATAGAAGCTTAAGAAAGAAGGTAACTTTTTCCTGTAAAAATAACTTTTCAGTTGAGGTTTCTCTTGATTAAACTTGAAGTTTTGCTTGGTTTTTGCGATGATTGTTGACCTGCCCGGGTATTCTTCAGAAATGAACTTGTTATAAATTATGTTAACGTGAGTTTTTTTCTTTTTTGGTTTAACTGTTCTACCTGGTATAGGTTAACTAGAGATAGTTCATTATGGCAACCCAAGATTGCCATTTTTCTGATGTAAAACTCTTTGAAGATACATCCTAAACTTTTAAGTAGCTTTTGCTGAAAAAATGGTCTGCTTAGCAAGCTGCTACAGTTATTAGATCTATATACTATATCATCTTCTGTATTCTCTTGGTGATATTTTACACTACTTTAAATGCTTTGTTCCAATATGATTAATCCCAAACTATTGAATTATCTCCATTAACGAGTCATTACCAGTTGGAGGAAGGTAGCTCACAATTCCCAATTCGACTTGACTGGGAACCCAGCTGCCAAAGCGTTCACCTTCCGGCTAACTCAGGAGGCTTCTTTTATCCCCTGCAAACAAATTCTTTTGGGTAACCATTTTTTCCTTCATATTACCACCAACAACTAATGTGATCTCATGATTTTTAAAATGAAATACTTGTATATTTAAGTTTCCAACTATTTACGATAAAAAAATTATATTATGAGTTCGATTCAAACTGATGTAAACTAAAAATTTATACACATCATATAACATGTTTTGAAAAGCCGGATTAATTATCTTTGATTCTCTGTATTTAAATTTTCAATCACAGATATCATCCATTGGCAACAGAGGAGGTAAGTTTTGTTGCAGGTCATAACCAAAATGTTAGTGGATTCAGTATGCCTGGATGGATGCTTTGAATTGTTGTTATTCTGCATCAAACTTGAATTTGCTAATGGTGTTTCAATTTTTCACTTCATTTTTATGGGTTGTGATCAGTTTTATAAAGCTTGTAACTATTGCTTGTTGAAGACAGTTACTATATGTATGTACTGTAAGTAAGTATATGTTTGTATGTTGTAATGACTTAAAACATGGCTGATATTTTTAATTATATTTCTGATAAATTTTCTCTTTTTTACTTGGAGAAATTTGTTGAGAAAAAAAAAAAAAAAGTAATTTACTTTGGTATTTTATTTTTCATATATTATGTGGTCAGAATAGATAGATGAATTATTGTACCTTCTGATTAAATCAAGGTGAAGAGTGTGTGTGTGTGTGTGTGTGTATATATTTGTATGTATATATGTGTGTGTGTGATGTAGACACAATCACATGCCTAGGGATTGGCTCGGTCGAAGGGTACAAACATGGTTCGACCATTTCATGCATGTATATATATATACGTATATATATATATATATATGTGTGTGTGTGTGTGTGTGTATGCATATGTAGGATATATTATTAGTTAATTGAATAGTATATCATAAATTGATTAAGATAAAATTTCTAATTTCATTTGAGAACACGAATTGGGAGGTTATTAAAACTTAACCACGTGCATACTGTGATTTAATAGTTAAACTATCATCTTTTATTTCAAAATTATGAATTTAAATTTTAATAAAAATATAAAATTTATCTGATGAATATTTGATTTAATAAAATTAAAATTAAAATTTATTAATATAATTATTTTAATAAAATTATATTAATTTCTAATAAATTTAATATATTTTTTTAGAGAAAATAATATTTTATTCCTATTAGATTCTTTTAGTTAAAAGAATTTAATCTAATTTTTTTTTTATAAAAAATACTTAAATTAAATATAATTACTGTCATTTTATAATTAAAATATTAAAATTATGAATAAAAATCACACAAATACATAAATTTATAATATATTTAAAATAAATAATATAGTAAAAAAAATTTAATTACTAATCACTTTTTAATTAAAGAATTGATACGTTATTTCTTCAATAAGAGATTGTATATTCAAGTCGGATAATATTTTTATATATATCACTGTTTAAATAAATATTATGATTGATGTATATGTATCACATAATTAATAAATATATAAATTTATTAAAAAAATTAATTAAAATTAAAATTTTTTTGAATTATTAAAATTTTTAAAATTGTAATATCCATTTTATAATATTTCATAATTTTTATCGTATGAGTTACCATATTTATTACGCATAAATGAATCGAATTATAATTTTCACACTAATTTATGTAATTATAAA